GGGTGGTTACGTTTAGTAGTTTAGAAGGATAGGTTGAAAGTACAAATAGGGTGAAAACGTGCCCTACTACCAGTTAAACATATTCCCCAAATTTCGTTGTCCTAGTGTTTATGGTTTTTGAGAAAAAAAAATTAAACCAAAATTTTCCGCCATTTTTGGAGGGGTGTAGCTCCTTAGGGGAGCCGAAGTCGCCCATGGTTCATATATCAAAGTACCCTTAAAATTCCCTAAAGAATCACCCCTTGAAGTTTGTTGCAGTCATTCAGATACACCCTGTATAACATACTTATCATTAATTAAAGATAACTTGATGAGCAATTCAACCAGCACACAATATACAGAGTGTTCCATTTAAAAAACTTGAGAAAAAGCATTTGAAAAACATCAAAAGTAACTAAGCTTTATGAACACAGCTTTTGTATAGCGTATCTAATATCTTTGGATACTATCATTTACCTACTGGCTTTGACTATTTACGTTTTACATCACATTTAGCGCACCATCATTTTTTATGGCAGCTAAAACATTAAAACTCCAATACTTATCCTAGAAATTGTCTTTCACGAAATATGTGTAGGTTAGTATCACTCCAATAAAGAGAGTTATGCCGGTTAAATATACCATTCTTGTGAAATTTTGCTTCATCCGTCCAAATTATTTTTCCAAAAAATCTTTATCTTCTTGAGTTTTAATCAACATAAATTCACAAAAAGCAATTCTCCTTTGATCGTCACCTGGCCTTAAACTTTGTACCAATGTGTAATAAGGTTGAAAGTTATGGTTTTTTAAAATCCTGTAATTGCTTTTCTCAGATATTCCCAAATCTGTTTTAATATCTAATAAGGAATTTTCAGAATACGCGCTGAAGTAAAACTGTAATTTCATTTTCTTCGTTATCTACCATTGGTTTATAATTTTTTAAAAAACTTTTTAAGGGTTGTGTAAGCTATGGGTCCTCTCTGTGGACTCGACTATATTTTCGAAAAAATAATTTTTATTGTGAAGGGTTGCATCTGGCAAAATTTTTTCTAGACATATGATGACATAACAAATTAGTTTAAATTTAGCGGGCTTCTCGAAAATTCAATAAAAATTGGTACATTCCATTTAAAATAACGAAGTTGGAGTCCATTTCTGGTATAACCGGAAGTTGGAGAAAACTGAAAATATTTTAGCTGAAACAAGCACTTCGGGTAAACCCTGTATGGAAATTTTCACAAAGATAATGCCAGTAGTTTGCTATATACATATAGACTCAGCTCGTCGTGACAGATCCTGTATATAATTAAATTTATTAATAATTATTTTTTAAGAAATGCGTTTGGGTTCTTGGTATTACGGTGATGGAAATTTGATTAGAGGAACTAGATGCCTTCTAAAATCATGTGAGGGTACATTGCAATGTTATATCCAAGATTTAGAGAAGCACAATGATCAATGTGTTGTTTATATAACAAGTTTAGCTGAGAGAAGAGTTGTTAAATACACAGATTTAAATCCTGAACCGGATGCAAAACCATGGCCGTTACCATATCGGTAAAATTAAAAATATTTTTTGACTAAATTAATTAATTATTTCTCTCTTTTAGTTTTACAACTCGTTCAAACACGCCAACGTCTTTAACTAACGAAGTTATTCCATCAAATGATTTAAATAATTACAGCACTAATATCATGAAAGATAAAAAGGAGATTATAAAAGGGCAAATAGCTAAAGGAAACAAAAGTAATAAGAAGAATCAAGGTAAAATTGGTAATAGAAATGTTCCTGCTTTAACTCTTCCAATTAAAACTGATTTAAATGATAATAACATTAAAAATTTTGAAGGATCTCCATTGGTAAGTATTATTTTAAGAGATTTTGGTATTTTTTTTTTATTTAAATCAACTGTTGGTGTTTTTTCATCAACTATTTGTCTACTTTTTTTGTATAATGGCTCTTACTAACACTCGCCCAGACCTGCACACCATTCGTCCATATAGGCTTTAGGATGGAATGATACAGAAGCAATTTATTTCTTATCTATGTTCACTAAGGTATTATTGTCCTCTCATACAGGGTGTCTCACGTAACTGGTTCGTTAGAACTTTTTTAGGATCCACTATTCGTACAGTTTTGAAATTTTGGTAACATGGGTTGTTCATTCGGAACTTTCGATCTAAAATATTTTCAAAATGGCTGGCAACATCCGGTCTACCGAAAATAGACCATAACCGTTTCTCCATATTCAATGGGGAGAAAGTCGAAAATTTTAAATGGAACGCCTATATTTTGTTAGCCTACCCAAAAGGGAATGTAATTCTCTACAAATTATCTATAAACATTTCTATACATATTTATTGTAGTTTCTGTCATATTGGAAAATTTATCGAAACATGCAGGAAACGCCAGAACCTTTTGTATTTTTATTAGAAGGCAATGATATTTTGACAGTTTTTCTATTATTATTTGTACTATTAACTACGATTGATGATCTTCAAGTTTACTAGTTTTTATTTACTAAAAATAACAAACGATCAAATAAATGAAGCAATGAAAACAAAAAATTAATGACAAAAATTAGATTTAGATAAAAAATATAAATTTATAATACAAATTTTTTATTAAATTTAATTTAGAATTGTAATAAAACACGATAAAATATTTATTTGGCTGTCTTCATCACTGGTGACCGGAAATAACGGTTTCTTTTGGTCTCGATATGTCCAGAACTAAGAAAATCTTTATCAATTTTCTGAAAATTTTCCTTGTGATGGGCGTTAGGCTTGTTAGGCATCTCTCATTAAGTGTTCGACACGTCCTGTCCAAAAGTTTATTACATTCGCCATCAATACAAAATAAATTTCAAATATCGGCGTTGGAATAATCTGCCATGATGTTCAATGACTTGCACCCGTCGTCAAATGTAACTAATGACAACAATAATACAAACATGGACCAAAAACTGTCAAAATTCCATAGCTTTCTAATAAAAAAAACCTGCATTTCGTGCATGTTTTAATAAATTTCCCAATACGAGGCAAAATACAATAAATAGGTATAGGAATATACGCTAGGTACCAATAACTCTTATCAAAGTCAACACATTTTTTTACATACAATTAAAATTGGCAATAAAAATTATAGCATTCCATTTAAAATAACGAAGTTAGTCTATTTACGGTAGATGGGAAGTGACGGTCGTCTTGAAAATATTTTAAATCATATAAAATCAATAAATGATTCAATAAAAGTTCCGAATGAACAACCCATGCTACCAAAATTTCAAACCTCTACGAATAGTGGAACCTGAAAAAGTTCCAACGAACCAGTTACGCGAGACACCTGTATATTAATACATTTTTCTATATACACCGTGTGACCCATTTAAAAACGGGACTCTTTCATAAAATTTGTATTTATTGTCTGATTTTTTAATTGTAAGTGATAGGACAAAAAGTCACATTTTTATTAGACCTAACACATTAAAATTATGCTAGGGATTTTTTATATAAAATTTGTGTACATTACTGGATCAAGCACCCTTTAAAATGGCTACATACCAAAATCTATCAAAAATGGTGGTACATTAATAATAGCAGAAAAATTAAAAATAAAGAATGGACGAACTACTTAATGTATGTAAAGTGAAAAAGTACGTAAAGCGAAAAATGTTTTGAATTATTTGTGCGGATATCCGTATATGTGGACCATATTGTGGGTACTAACTTTAAAGCAAGAACTAAAGGTATAAACACAAAATAAACTTTTATTTTAGAAACATAATCAAAAATATGCACAATAAATAGTTATTTTTGATACAAAAGAATTTCGCTATCGTGTATCAAACAACATTTTTTCGAAAATTACATACGTGTTCTAAAGTTAATAAATGAATAAAACGAAATTCAGTATAATGTCATTTAGAATTCATTTAATGTTATGTCAATAACTCAACGTCACATCGACTTAATCTCACATATTGAACAAATGTACTATTATAAATTTACATTTAACCCTCGGCATACAAGGTGAATTAATCTCATTTCAATTTTTTCAGTTTTCCTGAAGCTGGGGTGGGTATCATATATACCCCACCTCCTAGGCGGAGGGTTAAACATGAAATGAAATGATAAAACAATCAACGGTGTTACCAACTGCTACATACCTATTTCACTGCATGGTCAAAATTTATTTTATTTTTGTTAAAAAAAAGGATAAAAACGCGAATTGCAAAAAATAGCATAAAAAACACGTTTCATAAGACTTAAAGGACTCATTCATTAAAAAACTCTCGGCTTCGCCATTCGTTTTTAAAGTACAGGTAAACGTAAACGGCGTAAAATGAACACAAATATAATGGACGGTATAAGGTTAGGTTCCTGTTATGTTTATTTAATACATATCCTATATATATTCAAAATAAATAATAATCTCTTGATATAAATAATAAATTTTTGAAATAAATACTAACACACTAGTTCGTCGGTACCAAATTAAAGTCTCACACTTTTTTGAAAAAAGCATCCAGTTTCATTTGCTTTGATTGTTGCTTCCTTTCTTGCAGAATCATAGCATAAGGTCGGAGGGCAGCTATGACACTTCTATTAACATTTGGGCTTCGATTGTAATCCCCATCTATGTCTCAGAGCTCACCTGTTAATCTTTCTATAGAGGAAAGGATACGAGTTAGATAGTCCGTTTTTAGGATTTTCCTATCATTTTTTTTCTCATCCTCCTCTTCTTCTTCGAGATTTTCTGACTGAGGGCGATCATATGCCTCCATCAACTCTTCTAATTCTTGATTTGAGATTGGTCACATCTTCAGTTGTTACGTCTTTGAATCCACATTCACGTGTAAACCTGATAATGTCTTCGTTTATGTTAATGTTATTTACCACTTCTACACTTGCACCTTGTAAAATCCAGGAAGAAGTTTATGCCAAACGCCGTTTAAACAATTGTTTGTCACTTCGTCCCTCTTAGCTTTTGTCAAAACCTCTAAAAGCTCGTGGATTCTGGGAATGGTACACTTCCATTGGCTTAAGTTTTAAAGAACCAGAAATATTTGATTCCAAGAGAACAGTCAGTCTATCCTTGGCGGCTTTAAATCCACGAGCACTACGTTCTTGTCGCGAAATAAATGTTCTCGATGGCAACTTCTTCCAATAGAGGCCTGTTTCATCAAAATTGAAGATGAGATCTGCAAGGTAGTTCCCTTGTTCCACAATTTCTTGAAACTTTTAAAGGTATGCTGCTGCTGCTGCTACATCAGCGCTCGCCGCTCGAGATTTGAACGGATATTGGTTCGAGATTTGAATCTTGTGAAGCACCCAGTGCTTGCCAAGAAAGTTTCGTCAGTGATTTCTTGCGCCTTCAAATCAGAAAAATCAACAGTGCTTTTTCGCATATGATTGCTTGTGTTACAGGAATATTCTTTTGATTGGCATCATCAATCCACAATGCTAACATTTTTCCATTTTCTCTATATTTTTTTATTGTCGTCTGATGTCAGGCGAACCGGGGAATCCCACGCCAGCACCAACCGGCGTAATTGTGAATCGGTGTAAACCAAACCGGCGCAAAACGACGTTTACCTGTACCGTTAAGGGTACGGAGCGGCTGTATCTCGACAACGGTAAAGCCCAGAGGTTTGGGAAAAAACCCTTATAGGCAAAGTGGGCAAGAGAAATAGCTGGAAATTATTTTGAAGTTCGTAATTTGACCGCTAGGGGGCGTAACTGCCGTGGTGAATCATAAAATTCCCGGTATCTCAGAAAGTTAAACGATGGGCTATAACATTGACAAAATAATTTAATAGCTTGGATAATATCGCATCACTTTTGTTTTGAGATATTTCTTATATCTATCATAATAAGGGAGGGGAAGGCCAATGCGTTTCCAAATGTTTACATTTGAATATCTTCTGAACCATTCAACCGATTTGAATATTTTTGGTGTTGTTTGAAAGAGCATTTTATGCTCTTTTAAAAGATATTTTCAGTAAGATCGTTTGCTTTAAAATAAATAAGCTAGAGGGCGTTATCTGCAGCGATTACATATTTTTGTGATTTTTGAAGAAAAGTTAAATGGAACGGTACTATTTACTTCACAGACCCTATGTAACCTTAAAATTTACTAAATATTAGTGAAAACCGCATCTCGATATCGCCATCCGTTCTCGAATTATAGAAGAAAATGTTAACAACTCGAGTTCCATCAATCGGATCCAGTTACCTCATTGCGAAAAACAAATCACATAACCATGGTAACTGTAAACATGTCATTTACTAACGCAGAAGCGTATGATGATTTATTTTCAATGTTTCGGATATGATGCAACCGCATGGCAAAAATGTGCAGTACAATTACGACAAAGAAAGACATTTTTCTCTAGAAGTGTTTTTAAGATTGGCTTACCGATTACGGAAAACTGGCAACGTGTAGCCCATTCAGACATCTTTATGAATTCGTAAATTACATTGGTGTGCAATGTGATCCCACATAATCTGGGAGCTCCGAAAACAATTGTCCACAAGATTCCTCAACAGAATAATATCTCCACCACATTGTTTTACATCAGGTCTTAACAGATACCGATTATGATAACAGACCGTACTATTATCATTGACTTTTAAATATGATTCGGGCAAATCCAAACCTTTTATCACAAATGCTATGGATGCATGAAGCATCTCTCAACAAACTGGTGTAAACTTGCATAATATGCATTCTTGGTTGGAGCAAAACCCACATTGCTTTCACCCCTTTACCTATTTGGTAGACTAAACGATCTGACTTTTTAAGAAAAACCAATAACCAGGAAAAATATGACAAAACACTAAATGCCATTAGAAACGTGTCCAGGGCAGAAACTTAAACAGCGTTTTTTCAACGTCGAAACTAGATTAAATAAATGCATCGAGGTTTATGGAAGGCATTTCGAACATTTGTGAGCTATTTTTTCCAAAAATTAAAGTTATTCTAAGTGTTTTGGTTTATTTTGTTTTATTATCATTGTTGATGTTTCATTGATCCATTGGCTTTTAAACACGCCTCAAAAGTAGTTTTGAAGCAGTTCTAAGCTTGGATAAAGTGTGAAGGAATGTTCTAGGTAATAACATTTTTGTGCTCTCTTATCTGTTTCCGAAGGTAACTTGATCCGATTAAGATATACGAATTTTGAATACTTTCTTCTATAATTCGAGAATGGATAGAGATATCGAGATGCGGTTTTCACTAATATTTAGCAAATTTTATGATGACTAAGGGCCTGTGAAGTAAATAGTACCGTTCCATTTCACTTTTTTTCAAAAATCACCAAAATATATAACCTCTTTTAAATTAATATCTTTTAAAAGAACATGAAATGCTCTTTCAAACAAGACCAAAAATATTCAAGTCGGTTGAGTGGTCCAGGAGATATTAAAATGTAAACATTTGAAAACGCATTGGCCTCCCCCTCCCTTATTATGACAGATATGAGAAATATCGCAAAACAAAAGCGATGCGGTATTATCCAAGCTACTAAATGATGTTATCAAAGTTATAGCTCATCGTCTAACTTTCTGAGATAGCGGGAATTTTATGTTTCTCTATGGCAGTTGCGCCCCCTAGCGGTCGAATAGCGAACTTCAAAATAATTTCCAGCTATTTCTCTTGCCCACTTTGCTTATAAGGATTTTTTTCCCAAACCTATAGGCCTTACCTTAATGACTGAGTGCTTTAAGTATTACGAAACGTATTTTTTATGCTATTTTTTGTAATTCGTGTTTTTATCCGTTTTTTTAACAAAAATAAAATAAATTTTGACAATGTAGGGAAATAGGTATGTAGCAGTTGGTAACACCGTAACATTTGAAAATAGAAAATTGAATTGACAATTAGAAACTGTCAAAACACAAAATGTATTCACCTGAAAAAAAGTTTCATGTACAGTTCCTTAAATAAGAGAAATTGCTCAGAGTTCAATGTCCTCATCATTGTGGACCTTGTATTCGATGCTAAGAACGTGTTTAAACATCCATAGACAGACATTGTCACATTGACAACTAGAAAAATTAATGACCCAATGTCACCAACTTGAGCTGGTTCCATAAAATCTCATTACAGCATCGGATGCTGTAAGGAGTTTCATTACAGCACCCGTTCGAGTATTGTAATAGCTTTCATTACCGTCGCGAATTACAAAAAAGACTTTTTTCGAAAACTGCTATTGAAAGTTGACTTTTGCACAGTACTTAGCGACCGTCAAAACGATAGTTTTTTGTCAACAGGACGTAATAGTATATTGTGTCTCAAGGGCAGAAAATAAGCATTAGCAGCCCGAGGCTATTAGAAAGGCCTGCTAATGCATTTCTGCACGTGTGACACACAACTGTTTTTCGCCTCCCATTAAACCAAACAAAATTGCAAAAATATAAAATAAAACTAATTTTATAAATCAATTAATTTTATTAGTATGTAACAGAATTTAACAAAAACACTAGGAACAACTTACTTATTGTAGTAATTATTATTAATATTAATTATTCCTTCCGCACAGTTGTGAATAGTAATACTAGAATTTGGTATCTGGTAAGTGTTTAACGTACTAGTAGTAGCATTATGATTTATTTTATAGATTCATTTGTTTGCTTTAATATATCAACCACTTTAATCGTGTTAGCAGTGCTGGGCTGCTGTTCTTGGTTCGTCAAGATTTTTTGGTCAATATTAATTTTATTAGATAAACCGTCATCAATATAACCTTCTGCAACCGCAGAGGAACACCAACCTCCATGCTTTTTCAGTGTTACCAAATCAGTTCCAGAGTTAGTTAGCAACGTTGCAGAACTTCGACGAAAGCAATGTCCTGTGATGACATAATACCTTACCCGGCTACTATTGACTAAAAGTTCGTTTTAAATAATTTAATTTAAAGGTAGCTATTATACAGTCATCCATAGATTGAAGTATAGAAGTGGTATTTGCTGGTAAAAATTCCACGCGAATGTCAGGGATTCATTTAATGTTTGAGGGCGTTGTCCATCAATAGTGAAATCTTAAGCAGAATTTTATTCTTCTTACAATACGCAGTAATCTTAGGTACAAAACAGTTTTTAAACCAGTTTTGAAAAATCATTGCAATTACCTATTCCTTCTTGTTTGATCTCCAATGAACAGGAAGGCTAGGCTTATCATAGTTTTTCAGGGTATTCGGGTTTTCGCTCTGGTAAATTGTCTGTTACTGTTTTATATCCTGGCATAAACTTTTCTTCTTTATCGATAAATGTTTTTGCAGGAATTTTCTTTTAAAACAAAGCTGTCTCATCAACGTTAAAAATCTGATCAGGAGTATAGCTTTCCTCTCCTATATTTTTTTTTAAATCTTCAACGTATTTAGCTGCACTTTCAATGTCTGCAGCAGCTGCTTCCCCTTGCACTTTGATGTTATGTAAATTTGACCTCTTTGATAATTCTTCTAAATCATTAAATAAACTTAAAGCTTTACTTTATATAATTGTCTGACTTACAATTAGTGAAATAAGCCGAGTTGTCTTATTTTCTATCCACATTAATAATAATCTTTCCTCATCTGACACAATTTCATTTCTTGTTCTAATATCCGTTGTATTAATTCGAAACTGTTGTTCTTCAAACACTTCTTCAACACCATAATCAAGAAACATTATCAATGACAAAAGCCACCGAACATTGATAGCTATCTTGAGCTCTCCTTAAGCATTGCCTAACAAACTCAGTGTGCTCTCCAGTATTTGCTCCCTATATTATTCTACACTGTCAAATTACTTACCTGAACATAGTCTTATGACCTAAATAAGCCAATCACTGTTGGCTTCAGGCATATAATCCTCGAAGTCGCGAATCATGCAAATATTGTGCAAAGTTTCACACCATTCATTATAAATACATAAATAGCATGCAAGTTATTATTATAACGAAAGTTGCAATATTCAACCAGTTGATTTAAATAATTTCTATTTAAATCAATAAATTTAATAATTAATTCTAAATTTGTTTTTAGCACATGCAAACTCCTGAACAATCTTTCAACGAATCTACAATTCTCGAATCCCAATCGTCAACTTCATATCAACCTCAAACATTTCAGCAAAATCAACCTTCATGGATTGATCAAATTTCCGATCATCAACAACTCTGCTCGGAATCAACTCTTTACAATATTTCCCAAGATTCTTTATTTCCCTCACCACCAGAAATGCCGCAATGGTCCATCATTACCGAGAATACACCTCAAGAAACTATCCCACAACCGTCTCCGGTTGTTTTATTACCCCATACGGCATACTCAAATTATTTCGATCAGCAAATTCATCATTCCCCATTAATCCCAGTAACTCCATTACCATCTATGCCGATGTATCAACCGGTTTATCAGAACACCCCGGTTACTCCCTTAATTTATACAACTTCTCAAGATGGTGCTGCTGGCGGCCAAGAAGTTTTAGTAATGAGCCCACAAACAGCCGATTCGTATTCGAGAATGTTTCCATCCGGTTACAATCCGCCGATTGATATGTCATTTTTATCACCTCCATATGTATTTCCGCCGGCAGGAACACCAACTGGATATTATGGTGCTCCAATTGACGCTCAAGGGTTTGTTTTTCCCACACCGATTACTCCCCAAAAATAAACAAGAGTTATTTTTATTTCTTTATTAATTTAATCATTGTTGTTAGGAAAAGTATTGTTTTTGTTTGCGTTATTGATTTATTTGATAAGGATACAGTTTTTGGTTACTTTTTAGAGTTAACCTTTATTTCTTTCTTATATTTAAGTATTAATATTAATTTCTTTATGATGTGTTCTTATTATTTATTATTATATAAGATAATTCTGCGACTCATGGTATAATTTTAAATACAGCACAACAAAAATTAAGTCATTATAGAGTATATAATAAAGTAAAGCAAGTATATCATATTAAAATTATGGCATGAGTCACAAAAACACGTTTTATTGTGTTTTTTTTTTTTCAGAAAATATTGATTTTGTTAATTAGTGAAACATAGGAGTTTATTAAGTTCTTTGTTTGTGCAATACACTGTTTTGAATAAATCTACCTTTTCTTTTTTCCTTTCAATAACATAGCAGAATCAGATTTTTTAAAATATTGTCCAATTTTGTTTAAAAAAATACGTAAAGGTTGAAATTGAAACACTTTTTAGCATTATTTTATGCATTACTTAATCAGGTAATTTAAAAACTTATTCATAAGATGTGTAGTTCACACTTCTAAGATAACATTAAAAAAATTCTCAATTTTAATGATACTTACACCGTAAGCTGCGCCGCGCCGGGGAAAAGACATAACAAACAACGAAGATTCTTGACACGAAATTTTTGTTTCTCCACTTAACCTGGACTCTCTGTTGGGACGATCGACGCGACTACGTCTCATAAAACGGTCTCGTCTTTTTAAAGAGAAGTGTTTCTTGTGGTTTTAGAGTGATTTCTTTGTGTATTTCGTAAATTTAATTTAAAATTATTGAATTATTTATTTAAGGTAAGTTTAGAAAAGAATAAGATTTTTTTTTACGCTCGAAATTTTGATTTCTTGTATATCTATTTACGGATTCATTTTAATTATTGTTTGTTACAGAAGAACTAATATGTTTCTAATATAAAATGGGTCGATCAAATGTTTGTCGGAAGAAGGTAACTTTAAAAAGGAAATGTAAAGGTGGAAATATAGCAGAAATGAATAAAGCTCGTACAGTAAAGTTTGTGAAGAATATTTTGCTAAATATTGTCGATGATATAGAATCGTCCGCTTGACATGAAATGGCATCTGTTACTCTACCTTGTAAGAAAAATACTATAACATTATAATAATAACGAGAGTAGAGAGTAGTAGAGCCTAAACGAAAAACGATAAGAATTTTTAAGAAAAATTACAGACAATAAAAAAAATATAACCAATAAATAACAAAATTCGGATCACACTATACAGGTGATTCAAAAAACCGCCGACAGACTTCTAGGACAGGTAATACATCAAAAATTAAGATGAAAAGTCTTAATATACATGAGGTCGCATGCCTCCTTAACGAGATATAGCGGGTCAAAGTTTCTTTAAAATTAAACATTATCTACAATAAAAAGTCCTTTTTCAAAAATATTTTCAATGCCACTGCTAATTTTGTCAAGCGGGCAGTATTTTCGTGTAAAGTGATCAGTTATCTATCAATTGGTCTCTTACAAAACTTTGATTAAAGCAACACTTTTTGATTGGATTAACAAATTTTCTACAAACGTGTTTTTCTTAAAGACTATTGCTTTGATTAAAGTTTTGTAAGAGACCCATTGATAAATAATTGATCACGTTACACGAAAATACTGCCCGTTTAACAAAATTAGCAATGGCGTAGACAATATTTTTAAAAGAGGGTTTTTTATAGCAGATAATGTTTAATTTTAAAGAAACTTTGACCCGCTATATCTCGTTAAGGAGGCATATGCGACCCCATGTATATTAAGACTTTTCATCTTAATTTTTAAAGTATTATTTACTCTAGAAGTCTGTCAGCGATTTTTTGAATCACCTGTATAGGAGAATCTTTTAAATATTTAAATAAAGGGTTATATTCAATGTCGATTTGATCATTTAATAATGTGTATTCTTTTTTTCTCTTGAATTTATAAATTTCATATTGTTCTAGTAAGTCCATTTTTGGGCCTTTACTACATTGATGAATGATTTTAACATTATTGTAATTTATTATGTGTCCAGTGTCAGAGTGATGTCTGTAGACATTTGAATTACATTTATTCTTGTGTTCTTGTATTCGTATGCGTAATCTTCTTCCTGTTTGTCCTATGTATATTCCATCACAGTTAGAACATTCTATAGAATAAACACCGCATTTGTCAAGAGTGTCTATCTTCTCCATATGACAATTTGAGAGTAATTTCAGAATAGAATTATTATTGGAAAAAGCCAATGATATATTATACTTAGAAAAAATATTTTTGGATTGTAATGTAATATTATTGAAAGGCATAGGTTTGNAAGTATTTGTAGGTATTTATATCCAACAATTGCTGAGGCTTGATGTTTGGTATTAAAGGAGTTAAGGGGCGGCTACACTTAACTCATCCCGTCTTAAAGTGAGCCAAGGATTAGGAGAGCTTCTCTCCTAGACTTGGCTCCAAATGGTAATGAAGTCGTGTGATTCATTTTAACTTTTTGATAATTCAGCTGATGATGAGTAGAATACTGCTCGAAACCGGTTTCGTATAAATATATTAATTTAAAAGCAAGTAAGAAGTTTTTTTTTACAAATTTTTGAAATATTGAATTTAAAACTTGCAACATGGATCCCAAATATATAAAATAATAAAAATTATCATAATTATAGTTATCCTATGAGCGACGTCATCGAACTCCCTAGACTAAAAAGGTGGTTGTTTCTGAATTTTCGTAGTCTCTGGTCTAGTTTGGTGAGATTGGTTCTTGCATCATTCACTGTTGCCAATTGGAGCTTTTTCATCTGGATGTTTTCCAGTTGCCAAGGTGATTTTTCTTCTAGTATAGTTAACAAATTCACAGGAGCAAGATGGAATTGTTATGAGTACACTTTATGTATATGTTGCAGGCAAATGGTTTTTTCAGGTAGATAGCTTTTTCCTAGTCAGATACTGTCTGCCTAGGCAAACAGTAGTTCGTTACAGTTTTATCATTATATTTCTAAGCAAATACTATTGGACAAGACAAATAGTATCTGTCTAAACTTGGTTTAGGCAAATACCATTTTTTTGATACAACAATGCAATTTACAGTAGGTACCTGTTCACAATAAAATAAAGCATAACAGTTTCATATACTTTTATTAAATTTAATAAAAATACGATTTATTTCTTCAAGACTTAAATACTAAATATAAAAATTTACTTGTTTTGACAATTGTTGCTGAAATGGCATCTACTATTGCACATCATCTTATTTTTGAAACAAGTACACCTTTTTGTACTGCACTGAAATTTTGAAGACTAGCACTGGCATTTTGACATCCCTTGCCCAGAAAACAGTGACTGTGAAGTGCAGGCCTCTCTTAAAGAAATAAAGCATTCCTGGGGTGGATTGGTTTAAAGAGCTATTTGCAAAGTTTACAGCGGAACTTATGTCTGGTCTGGTTTTGTTAGTTAAGTATCGTGCTTCTTGATATAGAAAGTCTTTGTGTATCTCTTGGTTATCACTTCGTTTTACATCACTTAGACTTAATGGTATTTTAGTTTTTTTACTGTTGTCAATTTTAAATTTTTCAAACACTTGTCCTTTTGATGTTTTAACGAGTCTTCATTTAATTTTATGTTTGTTTTTATCTTTCGATGCAATAAGTCTATCGTCTACATATATGACTAATAAAATTGTTATATCCTCATTTTTAAATACATAATGTTCCGTTTTCAGCTGTTTCAATCTTTCGGGTGCTTGTCTTAATCCATACAGCGCCTTTTTTAATTCACAGACTTGTCCTTCTAAACTGCTATATCTCTGTGGTATTTTCACGTAAATATCTTCTTTCAGTTCGACATACAAAAATGCCGTTTTTGTATCAAATTTTGTTATTTTACATGCTTCTGCAGCTGCTGTTGCTAATATTGCTCTAATACAGCTCATACTTGCTAAATGCTCTTCTATGTGTTCTTTTGGTTGTTGAAAACTTCTTAAAATTAATCTGGCTTTATAAGTTTCGTCCTTCTACGCTTTTTACCAATTCCCATACTAGATTCAACTTCAATGACTTCTCTTCTTCTATTGCATCTAACCATTTTTACTATTTATTGCTTCATCAAATGTCCAGTACACATAGTTCCTGAACTTTACAGGTGGTTTTCTTGTTCTTTGTCCTCTTCTATTATGATTTTCTTCGTCTTCCTTCTCTCTATCTTCTTCATCTTGCCCTACCTGAGTTGTTTCGTTTTTTCTTTAATTTGTTCAGCATATTCGATTTTGATGATTCTTTTTTTGATCGAAAGGTTGATTCTTTTGTAATAATCCTGCGATAGAAATTTTTATTCGGATATTAATTTGAGCATATACGGGCTGCAAGAACGAGAAAATCTTTTTTTCTCGAAATTTCTAATACCCTGTGGGTTGCAACTGCTACAGCAGATGGTGTTAACTGGAATCAAACGGAAGCCCAATCTTTTCTGAACATCTTATTTTTTTATTCACTCTATTATCTCTATTACTAACGAAGATGCAGTGTTTTAAAGCGAACGCCTGTAAAAACAAGACAAGCAAGCATAAAAAAATCTAAGGTGGCGCGCTAGGTAGCGTATGTCATTTGTTTCGAATAGTAAATTGACAGTTGTTAAAGATTTTTACAGTCTTTTAACATAATAGCAATCCCGTTGTCAGTAACTGATGTTGCGCGTATTGTTACTTTAATTGAGGATGGCAAAAGTCAGCAATACGTTGCCCATACGTTGGGTATACCCCCAACAACAGTTCAGGATGCCTGGAATCAATATGCGGAAACAGGAAATTTCACTAGGCGGCAAGGTTTCGGTAGAAGACGAGTGACAACAGCAGTTGATGACCGATTTATTGTTCTAAACACTCTGAGGAATCGTAGCACGACAGCTGTAGAAACTCGGCATCGTCTTCAAATGGTGCATGGGGTTGCGGTAAGTGAAAGAACTATTCACCGAAGACTTGATAAAACTGATCTGACTGC